GCGCACAGGGCCAGACTCTCAGGTAATCTCAATCCTACGTGGCTTTCATGTCGAGATTTGTCAGACTCAGAGGTATTCAAAGGTATTTCCTCCTTCGTGTTCGAGAGATTTTGAATGTCTGTATCTCGATACATGTCCTTTTACCTATGAATATGAAGCTCATTTTATACATTCTACTGTGCAGAGACCGCCTGTCGGCCAATGCGGACATTGATGCATGTTGAGGTTATGAATGGTGAGCCGCAATCGCGACATCACGAACCTCACAGCTTCAAGATAAGAGTTCATACTCATGGGCATGATGCCGTACATCGACCATGAGGCTCTGCAGTCCAGAAGGGAAGCCCTGAACTTCGTTCGGATGTCATGCATTGCTCAGTGAAATTCTTCAGCCAACCGGGATCATTTTTTTTCAACTGGTATGTATATGCTCTGTGAACAAGATCGGACAGAATCTCTTGCCGTGATCTGTCAAAAGACGGAGGCATCATTGAACAAACACATTGCCCTCTGTACTTACCCTGTGGTGTGATCAGCGTGTTTCCAAATGCATGAATTTCGGACGCCGCGATGCGTGAGAAGTGACGTAAATTTTTGATACAAATTCCGGTCATCAACAATCGAAGTGGTTGCGAGATTGACTTCGCGTAGCATGAATTGCATCTAGACGCTGCATCGTGGTCTCCTGACACCGCAGGTGGTGTGCTGGAGGTGATCGGTGAACTCGGCCAGCTAGGCCGGCGCGGCGGTTATGCGGAGAGCAGCAAGGCATGAGACGAATCGGAAGGTTCGGATAACCCTCGGTTGGACAGAAGAGATGAACTCTATGCCGGGTCACTCCCCGGGCGCAGGATATGTGACACCGGATATCATGAGTTCTGCAGAACATCAACGTTCTGAGTCTTAATTTTGGAGCTGACGAGGGTGGTCTCTGCCTAGAAATACACGAAAGCCGTGAGGAGGGACTTGAAGCTCTGTGCATTTCCCTTTCCCTCACTGTGTCGCCATTCCCTGAAATGCCCCTGCTCCTTACAGTCTCTCTTCTCCCGGAATGGTGACACCGTCCCTCTGCACCTCGCTGCTGTGAAATAACTTGCACCCGCCTGAATATATCAAAAGCACTCGATATTCTTTACGCACCCTCTAGCTTCCAAGCAGATGACGGCTAGCCATAGTGAAGCACACCCAGAGCAGTTGCAAGATAAGTGTTGGTGTATTTCATCTAGAGCGAGCTAAAATGAAGCAGAGGCACAGGAACCTTTCAGGAGCTCGCGGTGACAGCGCATGCAAGTCAATTGTCGCGTCCAAAGCGTGTCGATCACCGCCACCTGCCCCGACATAGTCACATGTGCGCGTTCAGCTGTACACCACCTGCTCAACGGTACGCATCTCCCGTGCATCCCATCGTTCATCGTCGCTGATCAGAAACTCGCCCGATCTGTGCACTTCCCTACAGGATCAATATGGTTGCTACGAGTGCATCCGAGCAAGTACCTTATTCATCAATGCGGGTAGGCGCGCTGGGAAACTAGATCGCTAACGTGTCTGTACAGCTTCATGGACACGAACGGGCAAGTTTCTCAACGCGAACAGCGATCAAGGTTCGAGGATGGCATCTGATATATTCAAGGTAACCCATATCCATGACAAGATTCTCGAGAGCACTTACGCCAGCTCGCACCAGACCCAACATCTTCGTCGCGAGTCCTATAGCTGGCTGAACTCCACCCTGTCGACAATCGAACGTGAGCGGTGATGTCGTTCTTTGCGAACGCGCTCGTTCCGTCAAGCACGCGACGATGCCATTCGCACCCCCGCATCTGTACCGAGGTGGCATGCCAGTGTACCCGTGGTCTGCTCGGCGTGCATGCCGCCATTATCGGGTCGTCTCCTAGCCACGAAGCGAACAACATGATTAGCGTGACAGACCCGATGTGCATGAAGATTCGCCGGGCCGTACCGATGCTCCGTCGCGAGTGTGTAGCTCATACAGCTCACGCATTCTCCAACCATTACTGCTGCCTCCGCACCTGGATCGAGGAGGCCCACTCATCCTCCACGGCGCACGACACCGTCTGTAGTTTGCCTGAAGTCACGAACGTGTCCACACCATCAGTGCGACGGACTCGTCGTGTACGACGAATCATGAGGTCTCACCTATAGCAGTCCGCATGAGCGCAGCTCGCACCGCTACTGCTGCCACCTCCACGACTGGCTGGGTCATCTTGGAGGGTCTCTGTACAAACCCACGGCTCATCGCGACATCCTTGCCGGTACCTGGCACTCACCTCGAGCTCTCAGCAATGCCTGCCCACGAAACACCGTGCAATCTCGTCAAGAGCGTGCCCGACCGTCATATTATCCCCCCAGGTCGTGAGCCTGACCACACGATCTGCTCGACCGTCAAGATATCTAGCAAGACACGTCAGACCTGACTTGCGCTCCCACGCAGATGAGCGACAGGCTACCGGCTGTCTAGCTGGTGTCAGCCCGTCCGCTGCAGCATCGTGCGAGGGCACTTCGTCGTGCGATGATCCTTGTGGCCCAACGGATGCTCACAGCATCATTCGAGCAAGTTCTATACCCGGCGCATGTCTCGGAGATGTAACATGGTGGTAGATTGTCGACCATCGCGTCGGCCTCCCAGGTGCCCTCGATTTTCCGCGTTTCCAGGACGCGCGTCATGCTCTGCTTCACGTTGCTCACGATCAACCTACATGATCATCATGCCATTCACGACACGTTCCCGGACCACGGTACAAACAAAACTCACCATCGCGATGTCAAGCCTGCATGGTGCTTGTCAATCCACGCCGGATAACGGTCGCGCGGAGTCATTGCATGCCTTGAAGCGGTCACATGTCCTCCAAGTCCGGCGCGCTCAGCATACTCACGCGATCCTGACCGAACGTAAGCCATGGCGTAGCCATCCGTGCTTACCGTGGATAGTTGCGGAGCTCGTGGGCGCGCATGCGCCCATAACGTCGATAGGTACGCCGATCTTTCCTTCCAGGTCTTCATTCTACTGATCTCATCCGATATGGTCAGAAAGCGTCGACCGAGAGCAGACTTGAAAAGACGCTCACCCTGCCCGACAAGCGCGAGGTCAACAAGCGTGGCGCGTTCATTGCGTCAGGTTGACGATGGACCGTATCCATTGCAGCGAGCTGGTTATGCACAAAAAGATGCTATCATGGACGGCCAGGATGGTCTTTGGAAAGGCGCGGAGTGGGCTAGATGGGTGGGTGGTGATTGGGATCACGTTGGATGAAAAGGAGCGAGAGAGACGATGAAAACGCGGTTCGGAATCGGCGGAAATGGTTATTACTGAGCGGGAAAAGGTGAGTGCTGGATGGAGTTACATGCTATAGGATATATAAGTCATGTTAGTAGTGTGTTAGAGAGGAGACGAAATGGAAATGGAAGGATTTACGGGAGCTGGCGTTGTGTGCTTCAAAACGACCAACGCGAGTCCCTCTGTGTATGGGCTATACTTTGAGCCCTATCTGCCATGTACCAGCCCCCATCTCTCACATTATCTGCGGTCGTCCAAGCTTCCTGTGAAAAGAAATATATTCGCGCGCTCTGTACACGGTCTGTCCGTCGACATCCGTCTGCGCGACTGCGAGCACGATGCGCGCGAGGAGCGTTCACGACTCGTATTGCAGTGTCTCTGCCGCCTTGCTCGATGCCCTCCTCGCTCTTTCCCTCCACACGACGCGGAGTCTCACCGTCACCGAAGGGAGGGGCACTCACCTGCAAGTCAATCCATGTCCTCACCCACCGCCGATCGCGAACACTTGAAGACTCTCCACTACGGACCCCTGGCTGGCTCGCTGCACTCATCCATATGATCGTTGCACGTACCTTTATCGTGGAGGTACCCAGCTGGACAGAGTGCGCGAACGGACCATATTGAGCGCCGAGGCGTTGCATGTAGGTGCGTGTTCTTCGTCTCTGAGAACATAGGCGTCGATGGACAGGAAGCGACGAGCGGATGGAATGGAAAGCAGAGAGCGACTTGGCGGAGGGCATCGATGAACAAGAAGCGGTGAGTGGATGGCAGAGTGGAGCGCGAGTTGGACAGTGGACGCGTTAGGCGCGCGAATGTCCCCAACGTCGCACCCGATCACAGCGCGGGGACTGTCCTCGACGTCATGACGCCTTCGCACAGAGATGTCGCCACTCGACTGGGCTGTAACCCCGTCTCGTCGCCTCATCCGACATGCGGCCTTCCCTGCTGTCTCTTGCCGCTGCGGCCGCCTGTGTGCTCCCCATATACGCGCAGTTGATCACCGCTACCGACGAGTGAGCGGCGCCTGCTTTTTGAAACCGACTGCGCAGCGCTTCCGGGACTGACTGACACTGCACGCACAGGTACGGCTACACCGTCGTCGAATTGATCACGCTCGATCCATTAGGCCTAGTCACGACATCCATAGAGTGCGTGCATATAGCGCACTCGATGGTGGGGCGATCGCTGATACGGAAATTATGCATCTAGGTCGACTATTCTCGCGGGCGCGTTAACGGATACGGCCACAGACACAGACACGGAGCTCACTACGGCTCTTACAACAACGGCGAGGACTACCGCGCCGACGACGACTACCACACCGCTGACGACGACGACGACGCCTGTTGCAATCCCGACGACGACGACGACTACGCCCGCAGTGGTCGTTGGGGCACCAACATCAACCGAAGCCGGTCTCACCACCTATTATTATACCACCACGGACGCAGCAGGTGTGCCTCATCATCAATAACTATATCGATGCTCTATGTATGCTGACATCCTTTCCACTGCACCAGGCGCAACTGAAGTTATCCTCGCGACCTTCACCCCCACCTTCGCACCGACTACCATTCCCGC